TGGAGTTGATTTTACAGGGGCCTTTGAAATTAAATCTTCACGATATCGAGGTCACACAACCTACAAGGCCTATATTGCAATTTTTATATGCCTTGCAACAAAAGCCATTCATCTTGAGGCGGTGACTGGCTTATCTACAGAACAGTTCCTTTGGGCTCTACAGCGCTTCATTGGTCGTCGAGGACTTTGCGAACACATGTACAGCGATTGCGGAACTAATTTTGTTGGTGCGGATAAAGTGTTGAAAACTTGGCACAGCAAATTTAAACAGGAAATAGCAGACAGCATCGTTCCTGAGCTTGCCAAGCGTAACATACAATGGCATTTCAATCCTCCACACAGTCCCAATTTCGGCGGAATATGGGAGGCTAACGTCAAATCGGTTAAAACTCATCTTCACCGATCATTCAGCGGAATTCGTATGACGTACGAGCAATTGTCAACAGTTTTAACCCAGATAGAAGCTTGCCTTAACTCTCGCCCACTGTGCCCTTTGACAGCAGAGCCCGAAGAATGTATTGCTCTAACCCCAGCCCATTTTCTCATTGGAGATTCCATGTTGGCACCAGCAGTTCCTCAAGTCTTCAAATCCTCCACCGCTAAGGACTTCCTTGAGGGACAACGAATTCTTCGACAGTTTTGGAAATATTGGAGCAACGATTGGCTGTCTCATCTACAAGCTCGTCCCAAATGGCGTCATGAAACAGCCAATTTAAAAATAGGTGACATGGTCATCATAAAGGACGATCGACTTCCACCGAACGAATGGAAACTTGGCCGTGTCATCGAACTTCATCCAGGAGCAGATCAACTTGTTAGAGTGGCAACGGTTAAAACGACTTCTGGAATTTATAAACGAAGTCTTTCTAAAATATGCCGTTTGCCTTTGCCATCTTGTTCCTCCCAAGATGACACAACACAGAACTAACCACTATGATCGCTTCCTTACATGCCATAACAGACACTTGCTTTCTTTTCTTTGTAGCAGGTTTCCGGTTCTTTGGTTTGAATGCTAGTTCCAGCATTGGGGGCGGCATGGAAGATTTTGCAATCTATTTGAACCGGCAACTGCCATTTATCGTAGCCCTGACAGCACTGGTCGACGAGTGATGCCCAACCTTGCTAATAATCGAGATACCTTGTCGATTCCTTTTTTGGCTCGATAAAACAAGAGAGCGAGTTGAGAAGCCGAAGCGAGCGGATGTGTGGTGTGTGCGCGGAACAATAGCGAGTTAGAAGTGTGTGAGCGAAGCGAAAAGAGAGACTTTATATATGTGCCGGAACATTTTAGACATAGAAAATTCGGTGTATTACATTGTAGGTTAAGCTTGAAATTACAATAAAAGAAATAACGTTACACCCCTGAGCAGTTAAAGTCAGTATGCTCATCATTGCCGTTACAAACGAGTAGCGACACAACATCCTTGAATGCAAAGTTGTAGATTGAGTTACGTAGATTACAGTCCACAAATTTGAAATCGATCGGAAAAAATTTATAACACAAACTTTTCATTTGAAAAGGTAAATAAATATTAAAACCCCAATAATTCAAGCTCCACCACAAAATCCGAGTATGCAACTTTCTTTGTATTCTTTTATTTATTTTAGAAACCAAGTTTTAAGTCGATTGGTGGAAAACTGAAGATTTTTCAAACAAACTTTGGAGCTCGTTTCCCCCTTTGGAGCTTTTCCTAAATCCCTTCTTAGTGCGCACCTACACTATGATAGGATACTTGACCCCAAATTTCAGCTTTGTAGGTGAGTTTGGGCTGTGGGCTGCTGACGCGGTTTCCTCTGGTGCCCCAAAAAAGCCGCAATAATTCAGTCTCCAAGAAAATATTCAAAAAACCAAGTATGCAACTTTCTTTGTATTTTTTTTATTGATTTCAGAAACTAAGTTTTAAGTCGATCGGTTGAAAAATGAAGATTTTTCAAACAAACTTTGGAGCTTGATTTCCCCCATTTGTAGCTCGAATTTTCCAAAATCTTCTTATCGCCATCCTACACTATGAAAGGATACTTGAGTCCAAATTTCAGCTTCCTAGCTTTTACCGTTTGGGCTCTGCGTTGATCACCAATCAGTCAGTCAGGACAAACTGTTTATAGCCTGTACCCAAAGGGTGAAAGGCTATACTAGTTTTGTGCGCATGTATGTAACACACAGAAGGAGGCGTGGCAGACCCCACAAAGTATATATATTCTTGATCAGGGTGACAAGCCGAGTCGATATAGCCATGTCCGTCCGTCCGTCTGTCCGTCTGTATGAGCGCAAGGATCTCAGAAGGTACAAGAGCTAGAATAACCAAACTTGGTATCGAAGTTCCCCTAAGCCGTAGGCAGGTCGTTTGTTTTTTTATTTTTACAAATAATTCACTTGAAAGAATAGAACATCTACTAGAAAAACAATTTGAACTCACTAATAATTTACTTAATATGATAATGTTACTGGTAAATAAGTTATAAGTAAATCTAAATATCGGAATATTTCCAACCATTTAATTAAAATATATTTATTTTTACAAACAAAATTCCCTAGAGTGAATGAATATGAAATAGTCAGAGCTGACCATCCGGCCCGTAGAGCTCACGGAGGCGCTGCTATTCTCATTAAAAATTGTTTAAAGTTCAAAATAAAGGACAGCACCAGGGACAACTCTATGCAAGCTGCGACCATTGGGATCAAATGTAAAACGTAAAAGTAACAGAAATTTACCACCTACCAAGGTTCGCAGTCAAGGAAACAGATTTTTTCAACTTTTTCCAAAAACTCAGAACAAACATGCAGCAACAAACTTCCATGGTGGGGCTGACGAATCCTAAGGGAAGCGAGCTATACAAATGTATAAGAAACAACAACGTTGCAACTCTCTCAACTGGTAAGCCTACATATTCGCCTACTGACAGCCGGAAAATATCTGATCTGATTGACATTGTAGTATACTCTGGAATTCCACAATCACATATGCACATTGCGGGAAGCTTTGATCTAAGCTCAGACCATTCTCCTATAATATTGACGTACAGTACTATAGCTGACATACAACGTCTGAAGCTATACAAAATAATCTCTGCTACCACAGACATTAATGCTTTTAAAAACTATTTAGAAACAAGAATTGATCTGGATATCTCGTTAAGAACAGGAGTTGAGGTAGACGCTGCTGTAGAGCTTTTTACAAGGGTCTTTCACACAGCGAGCTTTATTTATACATCACCTAAAGTTAGGTATTAACAATCCAGCCAACTGAATCGTTCAGCTGAAATCCGACGACAAATACAAAATAAAAGAACTTTGCGGAAACGATGGCAAGAAATTTGATACCCTGCTGACAAAAGACTGTATATCAAGGCCGCAACTGATCTCAATAAATTACTGTGGGATTTGAAAAATGAATCTCTTGCCGCATACTTGAGAAATCTTGAGCCTCATTCTCAAAATTACGAACATATTCTATGGAGAGCGACTAAATACCTTAAGCGACCTGCTAGGAGAAACACAATAGTTCGGAAAAGCAATGGCGAATGGTGTACAACATTTGCATTCAGTATTTCAAACAAATGATATTGATAACAATTCAAAGGAAGGGAAGTAGAAAGTTTTCTGTTCTGCTTCTCAACATCTTCAGTCAGAACTCAACCTTTTTGAAGCCGTTGGAAAATAAAAGTTAATGCCCTAAAATAAGTTCAAGCAACATTTACATTAAAAAACGGCGATTGCCCTGATGTTTTAAATAACGGCTCTGCAATTCCGCAAAGCAACTCTGTGAAGTATCTTGGCTTGCATCTTGATCGCAGACTTACATGGAAAGACCATATAAAGGCAAAACGGCAGCAACTTAAATTAAAAAAACACAATAAATGTACTGGCTTATAGGCCGCAAATCTCAAAATAGCGTGGAAAGCAAATTTCGCCTCTATAAAGTCATACTAAAACCTGTGTGGACATACATATGCAATACAATATGGGGTACTTCTAGCACTTCGAATATTGAAATTCTGCAGCGCTACCAATCAAAAACATTGAGAACCATAGCTAATGCCCCTTTATTTGTTGCAAATCCACGCTTACACAAACATCTAAGAAAAAATACATTGATAGACTACACAACCACGAAAATAACCTAGCCTTCTCGATCTCCCGGATAGATATCCAAAAGTATATACATCAGCTCCAAAACTTTGTCAAGAAATGCATATGTATGAATATTGAGCGACAGCGGTTAAGAATCGTGCGTGTTTATATGCGTGTATGTATGCAGCACAAAGTTGAACCAAAGCAGCAACAACATACGGATACATAACTACAAACTGGGTGTATATGCCAAATTTGAGTTAAAAATTCCAAGAATTACGGGAGTTATGAAAAACACGAATTGCGGGGGAGTGGGGGGTTAATCAGAATAAAAAAACAAACGACCTGCCTAGGGCTCAAAGGATACCAAGTTTGGTCATTCTAGCTCTTGTACCTTCTGGCTATATCGACTCGGCTTGTCACCCTGATCAATAATATGTATACTTTTAGGGGTCTGCCACGCCTCCTTCTGCCTGTTACATACACTTGCACAAAACTAGTATAACCTTTCACCCTTTGGGTACATGGTATAAAAATTTAAATTTGACTTAAACCCCGCTAGATAGGTCTTTCGGGTCACTGTGCACTGGTGAGAAATAGGAAAACACAGCCAACTGCAAGATCAGTCGAACTATTTGCAAGGTAGAGACAAAAGCTCACTCAACGAACGGGTCATTGCTTGGTAGCCGCCCATGATAAGAAGCTGGCTATCATATTAGCGGGCTGAAGGAGGCGGCAAAATGTTGTCCTGGCTCACTGTTGGCGTTCTTGAAGCACAGCAGGATGTTGGGAATTTTACTGTTGGGCTTGCTTGTCTGATATATGAAAATACTTTCTTTACAAACTGATATATTCGTCCGATTTTGTTAAAATGTATTCACCATTAAAATTTGGGGGTATAGATAGCCAAAAAATTAAAAATAAGCGGTTCAGTTAAAAAATTGTTTATTTTTATAGAGCAAATTTCAACAATTTATATATATATATATATATATTTTTTTTTTTGATAAAACAGGTAACAAAAATATATTCATTTAAATTGAGAATAACAACATGGGTGAGACATATTCACACATTTGACTTCTTTGGCGTTATGCTATCAGCTTGGCGGTTCTTTAATACACTTGTTATGAAAAACTCACCAGCCTTGTACGAGCTGCGTACAAGTGGCCCGCTAGCTGTAAACAGGAAGCCAAGTTTATTACCTCGCTCTTCCCAATGCTTGAACTTTTCTGGCGTAACGTACTCAATGACGCTTATATGTTTTTTTGTTGGTTGCATATATTGTCCAAGGGTAAGGCAGTCAACTCCAGCTTCCCGTAGATCCAACATAGTCTGCTCCACCTCAGAATCAGTTTCACCTAGTCCTAGCATTAACGAGCTCTTAGTAATTAGATTCGAATTAAATTTTTTTGCTTCTCGTAGAACATAAAGTGTCTGCCTGTAATGAGCACGTCGATCTCTTACAAATGGCGTAAGTTTCTCCACAGTTTCGATATTATGAGCGTACACGTCGAGACCACACTTTGCGATGGTCTCTACGCATTGCATGTCGCCACGGAAATCTGGCACCAGACATTCCACAAAAATATTTGAGTTCCTACAGGTTGGAGTATTTTTTAATCGTTATTAATAAAAATTTTATAATTATTGTACCGTTTTTTTATTTCTCGTACGGTCTTCGCAATGTGAATTGAACCACCGTCGATTAGATCTGTTAAATAACTGATTTAACACATATATATTTTTTAAATATTTGGCAGTTTCTACAAACCATCACGGTCCACAGATGTCAGTACTATGTAATCCAGTCCCCATGATGCTACGGCTCGGGCAGTATTCACAGGCTCGTCCGGATCAAGAGGTGGTGGTGCACGTGCAGTTTTTACAGAACAGAAACGACAGCCACGTGTACATGTGTCACCCATGAGCTAAAACCGCAAAACAATTTAAAAAGTATATATACTTGTATGTGACTAGTGCATTAATTTATAAGAATCATTCTTGTAGCACTAGGAATAAATAAATAAATAAATAAATAAATAAATAAATAAATAATTTCTTAAGACAAATTCCAATTATATTGTATATTTTGCAGGTTTTTTTATATGCATAAAACTATAAGAATTAAGTCAATGCCGCAACAACATAAGCTTCGGGCAGAGCTTGGCCAGAACAACAGTATATGTATATTATGATGAAACTTAACATGTTGACAGATAAGTACTAACTGGATGTAATTGTCATCTTTGAGTACAAATTTTCTAGAATTAGGGGAATTATGGAAAATTACAGTCTGTGTGAAGGGGGCCATGACAAAAGCAAACTTGGCAAACGTGGGAACTGCCACGCCACCATTCACACCAAACTAATATAACCTGGTATAACTAGTATAACCTGTATTAATAATGTACAATAATAAGCAAATGTTATAAATCAAGTGGAGCCTACCATGATAGTTGCCGTTTGAGTGCCATGTTCTCCTCCGCCCCAGCACTCACCAATGTTGGGGCAGCGTGCCTCCTCGCACACAGTGGACAATTTAAGTTCTCGCAATCGAGATTTAACGCTTGCATAGTTCTTTCCAACTGGAATAGTTGTCTTTAGCCAAGGTGGCAAACGTAACCGTTCGTCATCACCTTTTTCTCGACGTAATTTGCCATCGAATTTTCCCCAATCATTTATAGGTAACTGTTTGTTTTGAACAAACTCTTCAAAATTAGGTCCTTTTGATAGCCGCTCACGTATTTCTGCCAACTTATCTACGTTAGTGGACGTAGAAGCTCGCTAAAAACAAAAAAAAAAACGTTTATAAATACATGTTAAACTTTGTTATATTTTGCTTACTACAGATAGTACAGCTTTCAGTGGCGGTGCACGGTATTGGCACCTCAACATTGCAACTTGACGGAAAATGTCTTCTGATAATTTGCAAATGAATACAAATATACATAAATAATTGAAATGGGGTTGTTCTATTAACTGGAGAATACTAGAGATGAGCGATCAGCACTGCACCCATGATTTGTGACTTTAACTAAAGTCACAAATTACAGCTGGTCCAAATCACTATTTAATACAACTGAACTGGAACTAATTATCATTTTTTTGCGAATTGCTATTAATTGACCGAAAGTTCATACATACCTATATACGTATTTAAGCGTGTATTGCGTAAGGAAATGCGTATTGACTACAAAAAGTGCATCTTTTCATTCAAAATATCGACCACCTGTCCACAGGTTAAATCAAGAATAAAACTATCGACGATACTATATGTATAATCGATAGATGTAAGAGTCAGTAATGGCAAAAAGCGTATTAAAAGGAAAATTATTTTTACAAGAAATGCTTAGAAAAATGTATTTTTCAAGGGTTTTTTTATCATCTTGTTAGCTTTACAAAACAAATTTTGTTTGTCCCATAGAAAGTCTGTGTTTCATTGTAAGTGAGCCAAACATCACGGCATTTTTCAATGCATTCTTTCGTCATTTCCACCTTTTTCAAATTAAGCGCATTTAGGGAAAAAGATGGCTTAAACTAGTAATGTTATGTGTAGTACCACAACTGTTTGTTCGTCAATACGTAGATCTACTTTCAACAGCGAACCATTACTGCCACAAGCGAGCGGCATTATATACATACATAATTAGTACATAAATAACTTGTTGTATAAAACAAGTAAAAAAGCTAAAGTCGGGTGTCCCGACTTTGAAATACTCTGTACATATGTTTACAATAATTATAGAAAATAAAAAAAATTAAGAAAATAAAAAAAAATTCAATGATCGATTTTACCTTTCTCGGTATTCGAACTCACGTAAAGGGTGTATAATTGCACATTTACATAGCAATTACGTCTGTGTGAGTGTATGTATGCCTATGCGCATCTATTCGTGTCTGTGTAAGCATTTTCGCAGTCAACCAAACAGCAACATCAACAACAGCCGCGGGCAGCGCTGCAGCAGCAAATATATTTATGGCTATAACTTCTTGGTAAATCGGTCTATCATAGTGAAACTTGGCATACGGACACATAATTACTAACTGGGGGTATTTGCAAAATGAGTTCGAAATTCCTAGAATTACCGGAGTTACGATTTGCGGGAGAGAGGGGGGAGGGAGGGAAATTCCAAAATATACATTTTCTGCGTATTCATTCAAGGCACCTTGGACTAAAATTTGGTGTTCCTAGGTCTTATGGTCTCCGAGATATAGGCGATTATACGAATGGAAAATCGGGAAAACCCCCATAGGGGGGAAGTGGGGGGGAAATCAAAAAAATAAAACAAACTCGTATAGAATACACACATAAGGCATCTTTGTGGAAAATTTGGTGTCTCTATCTCTTATAGTCTCTGAGATCCAGGTGTTCATACGGACGGACAGACGGACAGACAGACAGACAGACAGGGCTAGATCGACTCGTCTCGTCGGGCTGATCAGGAATATATATACTTTGTGGGGTCTGCCACGCCTCCTTCTGCCTGTTACATTTTTCAGCTCCCGCAAACCTAATATACTTCTGTACATTTCATGTACAGAGTATAATAAAAAGAGCTCAATAAACCATCATCATTAACCACATATAAGCAAATAAAGCTGCCTCGTTTAAACTTTTTTTAAACATTTTTGTTCCCTAATTACAAAAAGCGGTAAAAAAGTTAAATGTATTTGTTAAAAGCCAGAACTCCCGCTTCCCGCAATTTGGAATATTTTCCCACAATCATATAATAAACAACCAGATTTGAAGGGAAAAAATTGGAAACACTGGTTAGAGTCCACCAAGCAGAACAAAAAAAATAATTAATTGAATAGGAACAAAATAAAAAAACATGAGTGTGTCAGGGAGGCACGCTATTGAAGTGAAACTCCCTGGTTCAAAATCGACTTAATCGATGTTAAGCATCGATTTGTTTTTAGAGAGTCGATTAATCGATAAAGTCAAATGCATACCTAAATTTACAAACTATTGAAATTGTCGCTGATAACGTCTAATCTTATTGAAAACGACAATAAAAATTAATTTTTTTCAGCTTTACGATTAATCGATTTTATTTTTGGGAAAATCACAAGAAAAAAACCAAAAGGATCGTCAGTCAACATCAACTATTTTGCAGTGCTGGGGCCCAGGCAAATAAATTTTTACAGCAAAATGAATGAAAATAACAAAACAAAAAAGTAGCAAAACATTTAAAACAGCTGGCGTTTCATCTTTGTGTTCGTTAGCCTGGACTTTTATTCACATTCGGCACATTTTTTTATATTTTTTATATTCGTTCCTCTTTGTTACCGCATGCCCTTGGAATACTCTCATATTTTTTAACGATCGCAAATTATAAATGTATGCTTGCCTGTGATCCTGCTATTGGTGTACTTGAAAAACGTAGTATAATTTGGCATCAAAAAGCACCGAAAAACAACAAACAGCGGCTCTTAAAAATCATAACCTAACATGTAGTCATAAATAATCAGAAGGCAAATCAATTGCTGACGATTGCGTGATTATTTTAATGCAGCGTAATTTTTAAATGGAAGCACAACAAGTTATGAGTAAATTAAAAGGAAAAACTATCCACGACTCACACTACTAGCGGTTCTTACTTTTAGGCATTGGCGGATATATCAATTTTGTAGCACATTTTACCCAATGTAGCTGAGTTTCTACACATGTGTAGTGAGTTTTCCAGCCTTATCTAGTGGACTTTTTCTATCTCCTTAAAGTTGTGTTTCTAGCCATTTTTTGCAATATCCGTCACCGATAACCATTTTCGAGACTTTATTTTTAACCCTTTAATGCCTTATTTGCCTGATTTGTGGACAAAATTGAATTGAATTCGCAAAGATCTTGCAAACATTATTCGCATTCAGCGCATTCCAATATTTTACACCAATGATCAATCTGGTCGTAACATCACTTGTTATAAACAGAGTTTTTATACCCTGTACCCAAAGGATGAAAGGGTATACTAGTTTTGTGCGAATGTATGCAACAGGCAGAAGGTGGCGTGGCAGACCCCACAAAGTATATATATTCTTGATCAGGATGACAAGTCAAGTCGATATAGCCATGTCCGTATGTCCGTCCGTATGAACGCAAGGATCTCAGAAAGTATAAGAGCTAGAACAACCAAACTTGGTATTCAGATTCTCCTAAGACCGAGAAAGTACGAGCTTAAGTTTTTTTTCACAGCACCTCCCACTCCCCCGCAATTCGTGTTTTTTTCCATAACTTCCGTAATTTTTGGAAATAATTATTAAATATATAAATATATAAAATTTGGTAAATACCTCCAGTTAGTGAATGTGAGCCCGTATGCCAAGTTTCATCATTATAGGTCAATTCTGAAGAAAGTTATAGCCATAAATAAAATAGCTGCTTTGGTTCAACTTTGTGGTCAACTCAGAAAGTTTAAGTTCTAGAATAACCAAACTTGGTATCTACCTTCTCCTAAGACCGGAAAAACCTTTTTTCTGTGCACCCCCACACTACTCCGCAATTCGTGTTTTTCCATAACTCCCATAATTTGAAATTTTGAACTTAAATTTGATTATTACATCCAGTTATTGATTATGTGTCCGTATGCTAAGTTTCATCAAGATTGGTCAATTCTGAAGAAAGTTATAGTTATATAAATAAAATCGCTGCCGGCAGAGCATCTGTTGTTGTTGCTGTTTTGACATAATTATGTAATGCACACATACATGTTAAGGTCACCCATATGATGGGTTACCTTTTAGTGTTTATTTATTTATTAAATCTCTTGGTTTTAATACTCTTTGTTATTTTCGTTTTAAGGACATTAGTCTCATTTTGGAACCGATAGTCTACTTAGATTTACTTGAACTAGTTGTGAATTCCTAGCTCGAAACATAGAAAATATAGGACGTGGCAGCGCCGCTGCAGATGACGGGTCGCTGTTGATGGTCAGGGTCCGCGTACGGAAGGGGCGACAGTGGCGGGTGTCAGAAGGGGGGCAGCAACGTTGGGTGTTATGTTGCTGGGTGTTAACTCATCCCTTCCACAAGATCAGCGTCCTGCAGATCATTAGGCCTTGGGCATTTCGCAGGCGACTTGCGGCTCCGATTGTGTGGCGATGTCCCATTCGTCAGGACTGAAGGACGCGAGAACTCCAGTGCTTCAACAACGTTTTTATTTATTTATTTATTTATTTAATTGACAAATAACTGTCAATGTTAAACATAAAGAAAAGAAATAAGAAGCTAGATATACATTCAAATATTGAAAAAAAAACATAAAAAATAAAAATTTAAATTAAATAGAATTACAAACGATTTAAAGAGATTCAGACCGGATCAGGAAATTAAGTAAGCAAGATTTAATCGAACAAACCGAACTCATGGCCAAAGAGATGACTCAAATTATTGTAGTTGCTACACAGAACCCGAAACGGACTGTGCAAAGCATAGTTGCTTGCACAGCGATTTAGGCTTATGGGAACAAAAAATCTTGAAGGTCTTTGTGGTACCGTAAAGTTAATTTGGCTGACAAGCACCGAAGACTCGATGTCGCCGGTAATTAATTTATGTATAAAAACAACACCTAATAAAATCCGGCGGTTAACAAGTGATGGAAGACCTAACAATTGTAGCCTGTGAAAATATGATGGTAGAGGGTCAGTTCTACTCCATCCAAGACCACGTAAGGCAAACAAAAGAAAGTGCTTTTGAACCGATTTCATGTATTCATGTATTTCATATTGCGGGCACCAGACGTTACAGCAATATTCTAAGGTAGGTCGCACCAAAGCCGTATACAAAATTAGTGTTGTGTAGGGGTCATCAAATTTCTTTGCCCAACGTTTAATAAAGCCTAGAGTTCCCTTTGCTTTATTAACAATGGTGGAGATGTGATCATTAAAACAAAGTTTAGCATCAAACAGTACACCTAGGTCGTTAACAGTGAAAATTCGTTCTACAGGAGAGTTATTTAAATAATATGAAATGAAATGAGGC